ATTTCTGATCTCTGAACCTCACTGCCTCTTTGATCCCTCCTCTCCTCCCACTTGCAAAGGAGTTCCCAGATCTGTTAGCAAGATAAAAATCAACAAACAGTCCTGACCGGTTTGGTTCAGTGGATAGAGCCACAGCCTGCGGATTCAAGGGTCCCAGGTTCGATTCCGGTCAAGGGCATATACCTTAGTAGCGGGCACATCCCCAGTAGGGAGTGTGCAGGAGGCAGCTGATCGATGTTTCTAACTCTCTATCCCTCTCCCTTCCTCTCTGTAAAAAATCAATAAAATATATTTACAAAAAAAAAAAAAAAATCAACAAACAGCCCTAGCCAGTTTCGCTCAGTGGATAGAGCATCGGCCTGGAGACTGAAGGGTCGCGGGTTCGATTCCAGTCAGGGCCAATGCCTGGGTTGTGGGCTCAATCCCCAGTGTGGGGCGTGCAGGAGGCAGCCAATCAATGATTCTCTCTCATCATTGATGTTTCTATCTCTCTCTCCCTCTCCTTTCCTCTCTGAAATCAATAAAAAATAAAAAATATATTTTTTAAAAAAGTAAAATCAATTTAATGCTTCTTACATTGCCTTACCAAGTAATTATAAACCTATATATTCAAACATCAAAAGAATTAAACTCTCTGAGAATCCTGAACTCATTCCATTTTTTCTTTGGGCTACATGCTAAGCTATCACATCCATCATCCTTATACATATAGATCAAAGGCTCAGAGTCCTATTAAATTACTTCAAGTATTCCCAGAAAATAACTCATGAATACCATTACGTCACTGAAATATTCTTTTCAAGAAGCTAGTTTTGATGACCCAAAAATTCAGTTCTTATAAGCATGTTTTGATGAGTTTGTTACTAATTTCATTATACATCAAGAGACGAGCTGCTAACAACAAAGAATAAACTATGACAATTTACACGTTGTCGTTTATAACCTTATCCAGAGGTTATAAGGGAGAAAACTAGGGTTGGAAAGGAGATGGTTTGACTCCACTGGCCCCTTCCCTTCAATAGGGTCTTCATTGGCTGGTGTTTTGTTTTACTGATTTATAGTAAAATGGTCACTTCAGTGGAAATAGATGCTCTTCAGGAGAGGTGAGGAGGAAGTTAAAGATAAATGTCTGTTTGCAATGCATAACAGCCTGATCACATAAATAAACTGAAGTGGATTTCTAAGCATATGATCATACTATCATTAGAAGGCAATTATGAGCAATTGTATTCTTACATTTCTGATAATTCAATCAGTGACTTATTAAAAATTCTAATGACTCAGCACAAGGTGGAAAATGCTTATTGCAATGTTAAATGAAAACAACACAGTACAAACTTTCATTTATGTTATAGATGAAATCTATCATCCATATCTACTTTCCCACAATGCATGAGGAAGATCTAAATGGAGATATGGTTGTGGCTGACTTAGAACTTACGTCACCACGAAGTGAGTGTTTAGGGCATCATTCTTCGCATTAAAGTAAGACAGGGACACATTCTGATTTTAATTACTAAATAGTCGTAACAATTGTTCTTTAATTGTTAACAACTGTTCTTAAAATCCTGATGTACCTTCACATTAGCAATACAAAATCATAAATACTATTTGATGTGGTGGAAATAAAGAACTCTTCACAGAGATCTAAGAAAGAGTAGAGCAAACTCTTCCCTAAAAAGATGTAAAATTATTGTACATTCATTTTACTAAATAATTATCCTCAGTCTTGAAAACCATGAACAGCACAGCCCTCAGGTCATTATATCAGAACAGGAACACTCTAAATCAGCGGTCGCCAACCGGTGGTCTGCGGACCACTGGTGGTCCGTGAGGTCTGAAAGGTTGGTGACCGCTGCTCTAAATGCTTGTAATCTGTATTTTGAACAAGGATCATACAGTGGATTTTGCCATTTGTGTGGACTTAATCTATTTTAATTAATAAAAGTGAATAATTTTTCACATAAAAAATTACAATTATGTAAAATTTTGTGTTTACCTAAAAAAAAATTACAACTTTGAAAACAGCTGATTTTAGAGTGTAATGAGCTTGTAGATAATTGCTTTTCTTTTTTTAATTCTTTCATACTATAATTATGCTGCAATAAAACAACTTAAAATGTCATCACTATGAGTTAAATGGTACACCGTCTGCAACGCTTAACCACGTTAAGAATATGAGCGCCTGTGTCTTCTAGCAATTTCAGAAAAGCAAACAGCACGACTTCCTCGTATCCCCCCTGCAACACTAATCATGGCATGGTGAGCCCAGACAGACCCGATAAATACCCAGTGACCTACGAGTCACCGAACCAGCAACGAACACTCAGCGGTAGTTAGCATAAAAGTGAAAACTTACTGTTATTGGTTGGTTCAGGAAAACCAGCCTTCGGACCACTCCATCCTTTGTTTTCCCCTGTCTGAAAGATAAATCAATCGTTAAAATCCAGAGAGATGGACTTATTCCAAAAGAAAAACGTTACGTCATCAATGAAGCAAGGCCAAAGGTCTCTCACACAGTCGTTCTGTGATTCTCTCCATCTCGGACCCCGGACTGTGGACCCACGAGGAACTAACTGGAACAGCATTATCCACCCCTTTTCTACACTCAAGCCTGTTTCTTATGTCTGGCTCTGCCTTTATCTTCACCCACACTTACAATTAAGTCATCAAGAAAGCCATGTTCAGTGCATTATATACAACAGCAGCTCTATCTAGGCGGCTAAAAAGTAAAACAATCCTTATCAAATAAACAATAATTATCATGACAAGTGCTAAAGAGACTAAAGGAGCTTCTTTATCTCTCCTGAGGTCAAACCACAATAGAAATATTACTATGTCTGTTCCGGAACAGTCCTAGGACAAGGATCACCAAAATACTGCCAATGACATACACACACACAAAATTGAAAACTAAGCCCTCACTTGGAGTAAAACTTGTAATATCCTGACTGTCACCAGACGATGTGACATATATTTGGTATAAACTCAGAGTCTGAAGTAGTATTTCATCAAATTAATCAGTGACATGAACAGGTTGTTCTCTTCTGTGGAGCTGGCGTTGCTGGTACCAGGTACTCCGGGAGAGAAAAGGCACATTTGCTATTCTAATCAGCATTTTATACTTGCTGTCTGATGTCAAAGATCAAATGCATACATTAAATCTGGATATAAATAAAAATACAATCCTAGCACATAGCTTGCCACTGTAAGAGGATGGAGGAGGAGTACATGTGAGTAAAAATGCGGTGTATGCTGGTGGGGAGGCTGGGAGACTCCCACTTCTCTGCTCTCTGTGAAGTGCGAGACGAGGTGGCAGAACAAGGGCCGCTGATGGAGGGGAGTGGGAAGTTGGAGGGAAGTGTCCACAGTAGGGAGTAAGTCACTTCCGGAGGGAAGGAACCGGCTGATTGGAAGAATGCAGACGCTCAGACATTTGAGGGCCCGGTTAAAGGTGGTGATAATAAATTTAGCACTCCATGCAACCTTTCTTGCTTGCTTTTTTAAAAATTTGATCTCAGAAAGGGAGAGAGGACGGGAGAGAGAGAAAAAAAAACACATCGATGTGAGAGAGAGATACATCAACCGGCTGCCTCCCATATATGCCCAGATTGGAGATGGAACCCACAACCTAGGTATGTGCCCTGACCGGGAATCAAAACAGCAACCTTCTAGGGCACAGACGACGCTCCAACCCAGCAGTCGCCAACCTTGCGGACCTCACGGACCCAGGGGTCCGCGGACCACCGGTTGGCGACTGCTGCCAACCAACTGAGTTACCTAGCCAGGGCCATGCCACCTTTCTTAATTTCTCTCCTTCTACTAATAACAAAGGTTATTTAAATATTAGATTATATTCCCTACGCCTAGTTTTTCACCTTCAACTGAATACCAAGTCTACTGTTCTCTCATTTCTACTCCAACACTCTAATGAAACTGTTTTTGTAAGGTTTAGACTTAAACACAACAATGACCACAGTGCCCTGGGCAGTCCCAGATCTGTCTCTTGCTTCAACAGTGTTTGGACGGAACACGCCCAGGGACACCCCTTCCTACAGCCTCGACCACTCTCCTGGGTCTTATCCAGTCACCCCCTCAGACCCCCTCCAAGACCAGCCAACACACCCTGTGTTTTTCTACCTTAACTCCTTACTGATGAACAACCACGAGCTCCCAAATTCGGCAACATTACTCCACCAGGTGGAGGCTTCCGCCTGCTGCCTGGCCAGCCTGCATCTGTGGCCGCCCACACCTCCCTCCCTCTGGGCTTCTATTTCCACCCCCGACAATGTGGCTCTCAAGGGCGAGGGCCACTTCTTCCGTGAGCTGGCAGAGAAGCGCACGGGTGCTGAGCATCTCTTAAAGATGCAAAACTGTCCTGGCTGGTTTTGCTCAGTGGATAGAGCATCGGCCTGCGGGCTGAAGATCCCAGGCTCTATTCCAGTCAAGGACACATGCCAAAGTTACAGGCTCAATTCTAAGTAGAGGGTATGCAGGAGGCAGCCAATCAATGATTCTCTCTCATCATTGATGTTTCTATCTCTCTCTCCCTCTCCCTTCCTCTCTGAAATCAATAAAAATATATTTAAAGATACAAACCAGCATGGTGGCCGCATTCTCTCCAGGACGTGCTGAAGCCTCCCCAAGACGAGTGGACAAAACTCAGGCGCCATGGAAGCCGCCGTGGCCTTGGAGAGGAACCTGACCCAGGCCCTTTGGAGCGGCAGGCCGGGTTCTACCCGCGCAGACCCTCAGCCCTGTGACTTCCTGCAGAACCACTTCCGGGGTGAGCAGGTGAAACTCATCAAGAAGATGGGTGTCACCTGACTCACCTCCACAGGCTGCGGGCCCCCAGGCTGGGCTGAGCGAGGAGCTCTTCGAAAGGTTCATGCTCAAGCACGACTAGGAGCCTGTGGAGCACAGAGGCCTTTGAGGGCCCCTCTGAATCCCGTGGTGTCTGGCTTTTGCCTGAGCCTCTCGCCAAAAGCCCAAGCGATTCTTTTAACCACCCTGGAGCCCTCTCCCATGCACTGGACCAAATGGAAACAATAAAGCTTCTTGCAGCAAAAAAACAAACCAAACAAAACACAACACAGTGAACATAAGGAGGAGTCTCTCTCTCAAAACATCCCTAAATCAATAATCCAATAACCTATAATTCTCTCTCCCTCTCTTCTCTCCACCCCCTGCCCCAAGACTATGAAAGGAGAGGAAGCTGGAAGGCAGGTGATCAGGCTGTACCTAACGTAGCAGATGTCAGGAGGCTGACGGCAAACCTGCAGAGGGAGGACCCAGCAAAGAGCTCTCAGAAAGGACACTGATGGGTAACGCGGGACCCCAGGAAGCCTCTAGAATTAGGAGCACACCAGCTACCTCTTTTTAAAAAATACTTTTAATTTATTTTCAGAGAGAGAGGAAGGGAGAGGGAGAAAGAGAAGCATCAATGTGAGAGCTGAACCTCAATTGGCTGCCTCCTGCATCCCCCGTACCGGGATCCAACCTGGGACCTTTCAGTGCACAGGGAAGACACCCAACTGGCCTGAAAACAGGATTGTTGGAAGTCGTTCAAGGCCTATGAAATCTCCAGGTCACCTCACTAACCCCAAGCAGATTTCCTAGGAGGTTTCTCTTAGGCTAAAACAGAGACACGGATGGGAGTGAAATGGATACCCCAACAGGGCAGATAAAGAGATGGAGACTGAGGTTACATCCCAGAAAGTAAGATCACCAGCTCCCTTCCTCATTTGGGCCTTAGAAGACAGCAGCCAGGCTTCTAACTCAAAAGGAATGGCAAAAAGAAATACAGGGAAGAGACTAACACTTCAAAAAAAAAGGTTTAAAAAATCCTCAGAGACATGAAAGGTTATTATACCCATTAAACAAGAAGAGGAGGCTATAAAAAGAAATATTCTAGAAATGAGGAAGAGCTCTGGGACATCAAAAATATAAGAGCCAAAGTAAAAGATGTCAAAGGAGGGCAGAAGACAAAATCGATGAAATCTCCTAGAAAATAGAACAAATGATATAGAAATAGAAAAGAGGAATGGAGGGAGGGAAAAAGGGAGGGGGAGGGAAGGAGAGAGGGAGGGAGGGATCAGAAGGTCATCCATAACCAGGGGTCCTCAAACTTTTTAAACAGGGGGCCAGTTCACTGTCCCTCAGACCGTTGGAGGGCCGGACTATAGTTTAAAAAAAAACTATGAACAAATTCCTATGCACACTGCACATATCTTATTTTGAAGTAAAAAAACAAAACGGGAACAAATACAATATTTGCATTTGCATGTGGCCCGCGGGCCGTAGTTTGAGGACCCCTGCATAAGACTAACAGATATCACAGAAGGAAATAATAGCAAAAATGGAAAGAAAGAAATTATCAGACATAATATGAGAAACTTCCCAGTTTAAAATTATATGCATTTCTAGATTGAAACCCAAACAGTCAAAACACTTTATTAAAGAATACGCACATATCATCCATAAAATTTCAGAGCCCCTGGGAGAAGAAAAACTGGAAAGACATCAAGAGGGAGGAGAAGTTTCATATACAGGCTGCAGAATCAGAAAGCAGTGGGGTTTCAAGAGTGTGCTGGGAGGTAGAAAACATTGGTGCAATGCCTTCAAAAGCCTGTGACAAAATCATTCCCATTTTAGAATTATATCTCAGAAAAACTGCAAACCAAGCATGTAGGGAATGTAAAGGTACTTCAGACCTATGAGATCTCAAAATATTTCTCATATATTCATCAGAAGGCTACTGAGAGTATGTGCTCCATCAAAACAGGGAAGTAAATAAAGACCAAAGAAAACTGTCCAGAAAACAGGCAACACGGGAGGAAGGCAAAAGGGAATTTCTGGCTAATGGTGCCAACTCTTTCCTAGTCATTCTCTACTCCTCCCTCTTCCCATGTCTCAGGCATGTTACCTGCCACTGAAGTCTACCTCAGACACTTCAAAAATACCTCTGGTGCCACCCTAACCGGTTTGGCTCAGTGGATAGAGCGTCGGCCTGCAGACTGAAGGGTCCCAGGTTCGATTCCGGTCAAGGGCATGTACCTTGGTTGCGGGCACATCCCCAGTAGGGGGTGTGCAGGAGGCAGCTGATCGATGTTTGTAACTCTCTATCCCTCTCCCTTCCTCTCTGTAAAAAAATCAATAAAATATATTCTTTTTAAAAAATACCTCTGGTGCCTTTCCCCTCCTCTCCACCACCACTGCCTTAGTTCAGACCCCCAGTACCTCTTTACCTAGCAAGAGAGGAAGGGAGAGAGAAAGAGAGAGAAATAGAAACATCAACGATGAGAAAGAATCATTGACCGGCTGCCTCCTGCACACCCCGTACTGGGGATGGAGCCCCAAACCCGGGCATGTGCCCTGACTGGGAATTGAACCGTGACCTTCTGATTCATAGGTCAATGCTCAACCACTGAGTCACACTAGCTAAGGCTTATAGGATTGTCTTTTGAAGAATACAAACTAGATCATGTGACTTTGATGTTCAAATCTTACATGAACAATTCTCCAAGAGCTTTACTTCCCATGAAAACAGTGGCTTTGGCTATTCCTGACTTTCCAGATTCATCTTCGTGTTCTCTAGGTTCCAGGACACTGTAATGTTTGTTCCATGACTAAAGCTCCTCACCCCTCCACGTGCTGATCAGGTCCCTGAGTGCAGGGGCCAAGTTTCAGGCATCGTGTCTTCGGTTGGAAGTATCTGCATGTAGTGGGTGTGATGGTTAATTTTATGTGTCAGCTTGTCTGGACTACGGTACCCAGGTACTTGGTCCAACATTATCCTGGGTGCTTCTGGGAGGGTGTTCAGGAGAGACTTACATTTAAAAGAATTGAACTCTGAGTGAAGCAGATTGCTCCTCATCCTGTGGGTGGGTCTCACGGAAAGAAAGGCTGGCCTCCAGGAACAGGAGGGAACTCGCCAGCAGACGCCTCTGCATTGGAATTGCAACACCTTCCGAGTCTCCAGCAGAACCAGCCTCCCCCTCAGACCTTGTACTCGCCAGGCCTCCAACAAGGCATGGCAATTCCTTACAATGGGTCTCCATGTGTGGTGCATATCTACATGTATGTACATACATGTGTGTGCATACACATATGTACACAAGTATATACATGCACATATCCTGTTGGCTCCATGTCTTTGGAGAACCTGACTAATACTACAGTGGGTATGCAAAAAAATGTTTCTTAAAATAATGACATTAATGCTGGTTTTTGTTCTGTTTTGTTTTTACTTAATTCCAAATAAATGTCTGAGATTTATTTTGACATATTTTTATAAATCACTCACCAGGTTTAAGTAAATATAAATGTGTTAAGTTAAAACAACATATACACAACATAAGAACTATAGAAACTTAAACACATGTTAGGTTTCATGTTACAAATATTTTTAAAGGAAGAAAAAGCATGGACTACCCAGGTTATAAAAACAGAATTAAAATCTCTAGCGATACCACACAGACAAATAATTTTTTAATTGCTCAAAATAATTGCCCACATATTCACAGTTGCCTTAAAAAGACAAGTACACCTAAATGTTTAATAGACGATTTTGTTTCTATTCAGACTTTAGGCGTGTGTTTCTGCAGAAACTGAAATTTCTCTGAAACAGAATCCTTATGCGAGAAAATGGTGTGGGGAAAAGTATGCTGTTTTTGATAGAAATTATTATTAAGCCTGCTTTGTGAATTTTTGTATAAACAAAGTGTCCATAATAATTTATACACATGCAAAGATAAAATGAAATCAAGCCAGTTCTTGCCAAGTTATCGGCCAAGTCCTGAATTCGGGGTCCCCTACCTCCCTTGCAACAGGGGCAGGTGCTAATGATGTCATTCACTGCGCAGAAGAAATAGGGGACCATGAACACACGTCTTGGCAGAAAATAAACACCCTCTGAGTTTACCTTTACATTTAAAGTAAATAGAAAAACTAGTTTATAGAGTGTCTGTCCAATATAGTTCCTGCCCTAAAGGGATAACTCAGGATCTTTATTTCCAGTGTTTTCAGCTGCATTTCAGAAATAAAAGCCAACAACCTCGGTTCTTAAAAATGGGGCACAAATTAAAACTGTCTACATGGCAAAACCCAGGAGTCAAGAAGCTAAAAATGACTCAGTTGGTATGATACAAAATACATACAGCCACACAACAGATTTTTAGTATTTGCTAACTGTAAGATTAGAATTAAGACTTCATGTTGACACCATAAACAGATGTGATATTGTAACTGGGAATCTATCTTCTAAGTTGGAGAGTACTGCCTCAGGAAAGTTAAAACTGGAGGTCTACTTTAACACCACTTCCGAAATTACTTAGAGTCAAGGAACACTGGTACGGAATTTGTTCATCACTTTGATATTCTGACAGAACAGGACTGTACATGTGAACTTAGCGCTCACCTTGTCAAGTTGATCTTGAAGACTAGTGGATGCTTTATAACCGAGTTGTAACAGCATTGCTTCTGCGGCATTCTTTTTGGCTATCTTTTTATTCGGTCCTGTTCCAGTAGCAACTTCATTGCCTACCTTGACCTGGTAAGATTAAAGTAAGAAATTAGTAAGAGTTGCTTTGTTAAACAGGCTCGACTTAACACCACAAAGCACTGTATTCTGCTCTGTAGCATTCAAAAATACAAAGTTCAGTCCACAATAAAAACAACTAAGATAAGATCCCATTTATTTGTTATATAGATAAGTGAAAATAAACATGGAGAAAAATATGGTTCTCAAAATGTCAATGGAAGTTATCTTAGGATAACAGAATCTTAGAAGATTTTTACTTCCTTACATATTTCTGTATTATTTCATTTTTTAAAACAATAAACCTGTATTATTTATATAAACAGAAAAATAAAATTCACATAATAGAGTATATGTTGGCTCTCAGTACAGTTAGTATTCTTTATTTAAATTAATAAACTAGGGCTAAAATTCATGTTGGAGTGCTTGCTAGCTACAAGATAGGCCAGCTACGTAAGAAGCTTCCTCTACTGCTCTGAGTGTCCAAAGATTGGCCAACGGAAATGGAAGCAAAAAATCAATGAGCAGCAAAACATGCTTCGCCTGTCGTCACATGCTGTGTACACATCCCTCACTCTGATTCAGTTCTTCTGCGGTTCATCCCTGCTTCTCACTTACCCACCCGGCCTGCCCTCTGGCTCCAGGCCCTGCTCTGGGACATGCTGCTCCCTCCCTGGCACTCACCTTGGATCTCTGTCTGTCAGCTTTGCTTCTGACCTACTCTGATGCCTTCAAGACTTCCTTCTAGAACAGATGCTGCCAGAGTCATTTTACCCATTCACCCACCCCTTGTCTCACACAAGTTCTTGTAGCGACGGGGTTCAATAGTTTGTGAGCAGCTACCCTAAGTTATTTGTTAGTATTAAATAAGACTGCTGTAAAAAATTAAATTAATAAAAGGATAAAAGTAAAAAAGACGGCTGTGCTGAAGGACTTTAATTCCCTGCTAACAACAGTCACTTAAAAAAAAAATCACTTCTATATAAAAGTCAAGCAAATATATAATAAACTTTGTAAGTCATCTTCCTAGAAAGCTAACAAATTTTTGTAACTATTATAAATAAGATTTTTATATTAAAATGTTACTTTTTCTGCAAAGAAGTTCAATTTTGCTATGCAATAAAATTAAGACTGAAGACTGTTTTAAAAAATAATTTAAATAAATCAAATCCTCAAAAACCTAACAAAAAAGTTCTAAAATAGGCCCTAGCTGGTTTGACTCAGTGGATAGGCCTGTGGACTGAAGGGTCCCAGGTTCGATTCTGGTCAAGGGCACATGCTCAGGTTGCAGCTGAATCCCCAGTAGGGGGCATGCAGGAGGCAGCCAATCAATGATTCTCTCTCATCATTGATGTTTCTCTCTCTCTCTCCCTCCCTCCCTCCCTCCTTCTCTCCCTCCCCCTTCTTCTCTGAAATCAATAAAAATATATATTTTTTAAAAAGTCCTAAAGTGGCATTTACCCAAAACTTAACTCCTTTTCTCTCACTGAGTCACAAATAAAATTGATGAACTTTGCTTTATATATTTTTAAAAAACTAGAGATCTTAATCACAAATAGAAAAATTAACATTATGTGATACATCAAAATACCATGTGCTGATAAGCAAATTAGTTTTTAGTTATCATTCTTTTTCTCTTTGAAAAATTAAAGTATCTCTGTACAAAAAAATAAAAAGCTTTAAGAAATGCGCTCAGGAACTAACACCCAAATAATGTCGTCAGAGATTTTCTTTTGTCTAGCCATCAATAAAGTCACTGCACACGTTTCACAACACACAAATTTACTTTTCGTGGTGATAAATAAATATTAGCATATTATCTCTAGATATTTTACTTCCACATTCAATTTTAACAAATGATAACATCGCTTAAGTCGTTTATACAAAAGTATTTACTTTGATAAAGTTGCTGCAATAGATAATGAATCCACTGGGGCTTCCCGAGGGGAAAAGCAATATGAATTCAGTGTGAAAACATGTAAAAGCCCAGCCAAATGCTCCCATTTGACTAGAATGTTTATGAAGACCCATAAAAAGGAAGCTGGCGTAAATTCCTCTTTCAAAAGGGTACTCCATATACTCCATAGGAAAGGAATTGTGTAATAGAGCCAAAGCCAGTTTTTATTCCTGATACAGGTCTAAAATTTAGGTGACTTTTTTTTCCCTTCAACTTTTGCAGTTCAAAGAACACTTTCTAGAATTCTTCAGAGCTAAGAATGTAAAAAGAAAAAACTGGTGCATGTATTTTAAGAAGAGGATGCTAGAACAGCACTGTTCTGGGTCCTAAGGACACTAGACCATAATAGCTTACTAACCAGAGACCAATTCCCCTCCGTGGTTGTCTGCGTTCCCACAGTGGTTTATCTGTGACCACATCACAAGTTTACATCTCCAGCAACAGCCAAATACACTAGCTCTCACACAGGCAGGCAGCAAGTATGCATCAAAGGTTTAAGAAGGTCCTACTGTATACAGACCACTGCATTGAATACTGTGAGATAAAGACTATGAATTAGGAAGGAAGGTAAAATGTAGATATTCATGAAAAGTGCATCCACATGACAGACTATGCTTGAGTATCAAAATTTTTCCTATATGGTCATCACTGCATAAATATCTGTTCATTTTAACAGGATTTTATTGAAGGTGAGGTCCATGGGTTTGATTGGAAAAAAGTTTCTCTGACAAGCCAATTATAACAAAAACAGTTTGGGGACAATAAGGATAATTTAAATATAGACTGGTCATTAGAAGATTCTTATGAATCAGGCCTAATGAAAGAAAACGTACTTTTTTTTTTTTTTAGAGATACATACTAAATATGTAGGCTTCCTGGCTGGTGTGGTTCAGTGGTTGGAGTCAACCTATGAACCAGGTGGTCACAGTTCGATTCCCGGTCAGGGCACATGCCTGAGTTGTGGGCTCGACTGCCAGTGTGGGGCATGTGGGAGGCAGCCGATCAATGATTCTCTCTCATCATTGATGTTTCTCTCCCTCTCCCCTTCTCCCCTCCTCTTTGAAATCAATAAAAATACATCTAAAAAAATTAATATGTGGGCTGAAAGGACATACAGTTATAAATTAGCTTTGAAATTCTTCAGGAAACGAAAGAAGGGCGGGAGGAAGGAAAGGAAAATGAACGGCTGAAGCAAGTGTGGTAAGAATCTGAACGGCCGTGTCTGCGTGATGGGCATATTCCCCAGCAGGCCAGCACACTGTTCTTCACGGCGCGCTACTGAATATATCCACCCTCGGGTAGGTTTGAAACTTTCCCAATAATAAATTAAACGTTTCTTCAACAGTGGGGCTTGAGCGGACAAGTGAAGGGGCGCAGATGAGATCTGAAAGGAGGAGAGCATTTTGCTAGTCCCCGCCCATCTGCCAATCCACGAGCAACCCCACTCCGGTTTCCTGGGCTGCACAACACCGCAGTTCAGCCTCTCAGCAATTCTGAGTCCCTCCGTCCTCAACGTGATTGGGGAGACAGCCAGCTCTCTCTTTTCCTAATTTTCCTGCAAACCCAAAGTTCATGCTCTTAGCCCTGCTCCATCTCCATCCATCCTTCTCAATTTTGTTTCTAATTCCGTCTGTCTCCTCGTCCCAGTAGTTAACAGGCTGCACACTGTACCACAGTAAGACAGAGATGAGCCTTCTGTTTGATACTCTCTGGGCCAAACAACCTGCGTGAACTCAGTCCCTTCGAAACTCTTCTGTCTGTTCTAACATGTCCTTGACGCTTGAATGTGTCAACCAAGTTGAGGGAATCAATACTGGAAGGGTAAGCAGTGCCATTAATTAATAGTGATATGAATTCCTAGCCGGCCTTTCCCCCGTATCTCTACTCCGACCTGAGGATTTCTAGATTTTTTTCAATCGTTAAAAAAAACTCATCTTGTATAAAAGTTAGAAATACCTGCATCACGAACTCCCGACGTCGCGGCATTCCTCTCTCTGAAAGCAAAACATAGTCTGGTTCCTTTTCCTTCTTGGCCTGTTGAATTTGAGCCAGGCGGCTAATGGGGTTCATTCCTTGACCATATTCTGGTCCAGCCTAAAACACAATGTAAGAGAAATGTCAAAACATGCTTGTAAAACCTGTTATTGGATCCTTAAAGTGGTTCTCCTCTCCTCCCCTACACCCCAAAACCGTGACTGGAGAAGATAAATGAGAGTCATTTATAAAGATTTATGAAGGAAAAGCATAAAACAGATCTGAGACTAAGATGTGTATGGGATTTAGGGCTCAGGGGTATTACTAATAAATTGGGTCAGCTATTCTGCTTTAAAATTCTTCAGTACAGCTTCTTCACACTTCTGTTCATCAAGAAAGACCAAAAGAATAGAAGATCACAAGAAATGAACTGGGAAGAGATATTTGCAATACCTGTAACTAAAAAAGATAAATCCGGTAGCCAAAATATATTTTTTAAAGCTCAGAAAAAGTATTAAGAAAAATACAATCTAAAAGAAAAATGGGCAAAAGACATGAAAAGCTATATAACAGATGGAACACTTATAAAAATATAATCAATCTCATTAGGACTCAAAAATGCATATTAAAGAGATGCTATTTCACACCCATTAATTTAGAAAAAATTCAGAAGCCTGACAGCCCAAATGGTGAGGATGGGGAGTAACAGAAGCTTATGCCATGATAACGGTAATATAAAATGGAAAACAACTGGACAATGTGTAGTAAAGCTAAAGACGGCCCCTGCACTCCCTAGTAGCATCTTCATCATCATGTACTATATACCCTAGAAAACAGCTGCCAATAGGTGCTAGCTCCAATGTTCAGGAATAGCCATGGCTGCATTATTTGAAATAGCAAAACAAAACAAACAAAAATCTGAAAACAACCTAGACATTCATCAAAAGAACTATGTAAATTACAGCATGTTCATACAATGGTATGTTCATACAATGGTTTGACGTAGGGCAGGGACAATGAACTAAGTATTGCTACATGCATCAAGATAAATGAATTTCAGGAGAAAAAAGATGGATATTGAGGGAGAAAAGCAAACACAGAATACATATAGTATGATGTAATTTATGTAAAACCCACTAAAACTACAAAACACTGCTGAGATTAAGTAATATTTTAATAAATGGACAGACATGCTCACAGGTCACAGACTCAATATTGTTAAAAATGTTAATTTTCCTCAAACTGATCTCTCAAGTCATTGCATTCCCAATCAAAATCCCAGCAGGCTTTTTTTGGTAACAATTAATAAGCCAATGCTAAAGTTCATATGGCAATGGACAAGACAAATAACCAAAACAACTCTGAAAAAAAGAACAAAGTTGGAGGACTCAAACTCTGATTTCAAATTCACTACAAAGCTATGGCAACAAAGACTATGTGTACAATCAGCATAAAGACAGACCAATGAAACAGAAGAGTGTCCAGAAACAGATCCACACATATGCAGTCATCTGGTTTTCCACAAAAGTGCAAAAGCAATTCAGTGGATAAAGGATAGTGTTTTCAACGAATGGACTTAGAACAAGTGGAAATTCATATGCAAAAAAAATTTTTTTTCAACCTGTACTTTATACCATTTTTTTTAACTTTTAAATTGATTTTTAGAGAGAGAGGAAGAAAGAGGGAGAAAAACAGCAATGTGAAAGAAAACTATTGATCGGCTGCCTCCCACCACTCCCAACACGCCCCCTCGCCCCCCAGACCAGGGATCAAGCTCACAACCCAAGGAATGTACCCCGATTGGGAATTGAACCAGCAACCCCTCAAGTGCACAAGACGATGCCCAACCAACTGAGCCACACTGGTCGGGTTTTCAAAAATTAACTTAAAATGGCTCATAGACTTAAATGTAATATCTAAAACTGTAAAACTTCCAGAAGAACATACAAGGGGAATTTTTGTGACTTGGGTTGCATGACAATTTCTTAGATACAACACCAAAAATCACATTCCATAAAAATAATAACAATGACAATAAATTGGACTTCTTTGAAAATATTAACTTCTGTTCTTTAAAAAATGCAAATCACAGGCTTGGAGAAAATATTTGCAAACTATGTATTTGATAAAGAACTTGTATCCAGAATATATAAAGACCTCAAAAATTCACTATTAAATGTATTATTTTAAATGGACAACCAGGCCGTGGCCAGGTGCTCAGTTGGTTAGAGAATCGTCCTGATGCAACAAAGTTGTGGGTTAGATCCCTGTCAGGGCACATACAAGAATCAACCAATGAATGCATACCTAAGTGGAACAACAAATGGATATTTCTTGCTCTCTCTCTCCTCCTTTTTTCCTTCCCTCCCTCTCTTACTCCTTCTTTCTCTCTCTCCCTTCCTGTCTATACAAATCAATTTTTTGAATGGGCACTCACATTTTTCTAGGTGGGCAAATGATTTGAACAACACTTCACAAGGCTCATGTGCTACTAAACTCATGGACACAGACAACAGTGTGGTGACTGCTGGGGGAGGAGGTGAAAGTGGTGGAGGAGGGCCTGGGTGGGGGGGACAAATGATGGTGGACAGACTTGACTTGGGGTAGTGAACATAAAATACAGTGTACAGATAATGTGTTGTAGAATTTCACACCTGAAACCTGTATAATTTTGTTAACCAGTGTCACCCCCATAAATTCAATAAAAAGAAAAAAATAAATAAAAGATAACACTTTTAAAAAGACCATTTGATGTCCAGAGTACTTGCACGAAGGTCAATTTCAAACCAACTGTACTAGTTCAGGTGAGAGTTGATTGTGACTTAGACTAAAGGGGAGCAGAGGGATGGAAGGAAATGGACCAACTTAAGAACTATGTAAGGGATGGCCCCAGTCGGGCATGACAGACTGGGCCTGAGGCGTGAGGGAGAGGAAAGGACCCAGGTGCCTGTTTCAGCAGCTGCACGGGTGCCGGTCTCTGATGAGGAATGCTGGGGGGGAACGCGCTTTAGAAGGGAACATGGAGTTTTGGACACGGAGTTTGAGGGGCCTGTGAAATATTAAGTGAAGATGTCCAGGCAGCAGGGTAGAGTACAAAAGAGTATTTGAGAATCATCCACATAAAGAAGGAATCGAAGCCTGGGGAGTATGAAGTACGATGCCCAGGGCGAGGGTAAGAGAGAGGATGAGGGCGACAATACTGCACCGGTTAGGGGAACGTGAGAAGAGAGAAAAGGGAAATTTTTAGTTTTGGTAAAACCGTGGTTTCCCCTTTTATTTACATACCAAACAATAAAGATTAAGTAAATCAGAAGGACTGATGAGAAAAGACAATTATAGACAATAATTTATGAGTCTAAGATTGAATACCAATGAAAAGGTAAAGGGAAGCTTTAAGTCTGGCGTTAGAAGAGGTGGCCTAGTTCGTGAAGATGTTCAAACGACTGTCCTTCAATGGCACCTTGCCTCTCTTGCTTAATTTGCCTCTTTCATCAGGATGTCTTACGTGCCAGAGGTACTGTTGTTGATACAGATTCCAAAGACAAAGGACCAGATGCACAAATGAACTTAGATAATAATGGCATTCTGAAAAAGCTAAGAGTGACTGGTTTCTTCCCTTCACTGAAATGAACTACCAGCACCCTTGACAATGAGGTTATTCCTTGGTTATCAGCTCTTATAGTGTCACTCTACAAACCAGTAAGGACAGAAACTTTTATCAGAAAGTCTTCTTTGCAGTCTCATCTTATAGAAGAAAACAGTAAAACAGGATATAAGCCCAAAGACACCATCAGGGAGTCTTAGGTTTTTAACTCTACAGAGTAACTCAAAAGGAGTTCCCAAGCAACCAGTTTCAAATGGGCTCTTTAGTCACGTGACTAGACCTGACCCCTGACTCTGCTACCGAATCTTGGGTGAGCTTCTTAAACACCAAGGACCTCTTCTGGGAAACAGGGATAGCAACTACATCACGGACTGAGAGGATCCAATGAGACAACGTGACAGTTTTATTATCTTTCTTAAAAATCAAGGCAACTCATCCGTAGATATTTTCTCTACTTCTATTGCGTATAAAGAAGTGTAGACCCGCCCTGACCAGTTTGGCTCAGTGGATAGAGCATCGGCCTGCAGATTGAAGGGTCCCAGGTTCGATTCCAGTCAAGGGCATGTACCTTGGTTGCGGGCACATCCCCAGTGGGGAGTGTGCAAGAGGCAGCTGATCGATGTTTCTTACTCATCGATGTTTCTAACTCTCTATCCCTCTCCCTTCCTCTCTGTAAAAAAATCAATAAAATATATATTTTTTAAAAAAGAAGTGTAGACCCTAGATCAGCCGTGGGCAAACTACGGCCCGTTTGAAATGAATAAAACTAAAAAAAAAAAAGACCGTACCCTTTTATGTAATGATGTTTACTTTGAATTTATATTAGTTCACACAAACACTCCATCCATGCTTTTGTTCCGGCCCTCCGGTCCAGTTTAAGAACCCATTGTGGCCCTCGAGTCAAAAAGTTTGCCCACCCCTGCCCTAGATGTATAAGACATGTGAGGAAGCGACAAAAATGCTAAAAACCAAGGTACCATGTGAACAGACAGAATCAGACATAAAATAACAATATTTAATACTTATTGGGTGCTTATTATTTGTATTACTAATAAATACTAAGTCCCGCACACACACAGTGCTTCCCATTCACTAGCTGCTGCTCCTGTCACAGGTCGGCATTATTCATACCCCCCCCCCCCCATATCCTTACCCATTTCAGATGTCCTAAGAAGACACTATGTACAGCAGTGTGGTGTAGAGATCAGAGCAGTTCAGGTTACTCCACGCGACAGGTGAATAAAAGTGAACAAATGCTTTGGATGTGTTAGGGGTAACATCCTCTACCTTACACAGTCCTGATGAGAATTACACTAAAGGTGATCATGGATGGGAAAGTGTTCTACACTAAAGTATTCTATACTAAAGGTGATCATGAACAAGAAAGTACTTTGTGAGCCATAAAAAACTGTCCGTATGTAAGGTATTATTGGATGAACAAACACAGGTATGCAAATGTCTGAAAAGCAAAACACAATTGTTAACTGATTTAGAGTCACATGCCCAACCCTGACTCTGGGACTGTTTATAATCCATAGGTTGAGACGCCTGCCCTGTGGGGAAACTTTTCTCTATAGTTACCGGAACATTCACACAGTAAAACTGACTCATGTTCATAAGCACACACTTACTTTGACTATGGTTTTAGGGCGTTTTTTAAAAAATAGTTTTGGCTTTTCAACCACAGGAAGAGGTGGGAGTTTCTTAAGCTCCTGTAAGACGGTGGTCGCAGCGCGCTTCTTGGAGAGCTTTTTGCTATTTCCCTCGCCTTCTGCAGAGAACTCTCCCACGGACACCCGTGTAACAAAGCTTTTCATATGTGGTGGTCCGCTTTCTTTAATGACCTATAAAGTAAAAATACAATAGTAAATAACATACAGGCACACTTAGAATGTGTCCTTATAGCATGGAACTTTCTTAATGTTCCTATCATAATCAAAATAGAAATGAAGAATGATGCCAAAATTATAGGTTTCTTTAATAAACCTGTTAGAAAGGTATTATATAAGAACTATTCAGTTACAATATTTACAATGCGTAAGAGACTGAAGTTGGGCGAACAGAAATCTAAGTAAACACATTCAATTCACACTCAAAATTATTTTTTACCCATTTTAAAACAGGCAATTCTCATGGTTACCATCTTTTCTTTTCAAAAATAATTTTAGCCCAGCCAGGATGGCTTGTGGTTGAGCGATGACCTATGAACCAGGAGGTCAGGGTTCAATTTGGGTCAGGCCACATGCTTGGGTCGCAAGCTCCATACCCAGTAGGGGGTGTGCAGGAGGCAGCCGATCAATGATTCTCTCTCATTATTGATGCTTTTATCTCTCGCTCCTCCCTTCCTCTCTGATATCAATAAAAATATGTATTTTTTAAAACCTTGTTTTATGTTGATAGTATTATAGACATCTCCTATTTTCTTCCAATGATTACTCATTTCTTATAGAACAGAAAATTAAGAACGTAAAACACATCACATTATATTAGGCACACAGGGCACTGAAAATGATACGTGTACGGTATCGCATTTTCTCTGGAAGAGTACGTTCCTGGAGGATGGGGACCACGTCTTAAGAGAGTTCTACCAGCCATCCCGCATCCTGCATGGGGAAGCCACTCAAAAATAACCATTTTTGACATAAACCTTCAAAGGCTGTTTTATAGAAAGGAATGTTTACTCTCTGACATGATCTTTAAAAGGTTAGTCGATATGCCATAAAAACTCCTCGCTTCCTAGGGTTATGGATTGTGAATCTGTCAGCTGTGGATGCTCCCAAACCCTGTACCAATGTGCTCACTTAAAGTAAGACAACTTTCGAGGAAAGATGCCTCCCCAAACCAGATTCTCAAAACTTCCGTCTCCTTCACAGTTTTAAGCTATAAAAGGTACCCTACTGAGTTCAACAGTTTCCTATTTAACAGCATATTAAAAGTTTGTCTTTTAATACTGGATGCCAATGAGGAAACGAAAGCAATAGTTCAGTAATTCAACAATGCTAGGGATAAGGAACTTACGATAAGCATGCTGTCCAAGTAATTTAAGTTTACTAGTTGAAATACCAAAACTGTTTAACCACTTTGCTGGCCATCCTCCTGAATTTAAAAAAACAACAACACACAACATAGGTCCAGAGGTACAGATGCATGAAACAAAATAACAGATCTCAGTGGGAAAGGGGGAGGGGTGTTGGGAGGAAGGGAACAGGTAGAGATTAACCAAAGAGCATATATGCATAACCCATGGACACAGACAATTGCATGGGGAAGGCGGGGGTGGGCGGGGGTGGGTGAAGTGGGGCCAAAAGGGAGAAAATGGGAGACAACTGTACTGTAATACTGTCAACAATAAAATACAATGTAAAAAAAAATAAAAATAAAAAACACCTATATGCTGTACTGACTTAATAGAGAATACCAAATAGTTATTAACCTTTTATTGCTGGCATGAGGTCACCATTCGAACATCAAATATCCTGTAACGTATACTGATGCCGCCAAGGGCTTCTCAGACTGATGAAACTGTCCCTATTCACTGTAGCCTTTAGGCCCAAATCCAATAATTTCCGAGTCTATGCAATTACTTTGATTGGCTTTCCGTCTGTCCCTATCGTTTCTTGCTGGGCCTAATAAGCCCTCCAGTGCATTCTGCCCCTGCCTGCCCCTGCCTGCCCCTGCCTGCTCCAGGGCGCTGCTTTCCATCTGCTGCAGGCGGACATCAGGCAGCCCCATTTGCAGGAATTGTGTCTGAGAAGAAAGCAAACAGGTTCTCAGCCGAGGTCAGTCGATCCTGCTAGTGAGTTAAATGTGGGAGCTTTCTAGTGCTGAACGTCACCCCAATTTGAAGGAGGACACTCCACGACCGTGTCAGCTTATTTCCTGGGTTTTGCCTATTTTCTAGGTATTTGAGTTGCAAAATTAGAAACCTCTTAATATAGAAGGAATTATAATATTGGAAATGATTTTTCCTATTTTTAATGTCACACAATTTTATAAATATTTCTGTCACCTATTTATCTAGTTGCAAAGTAGACAGCTGCTTACTTAGTGGCTTAGTAAAATGTAAACATATTTTGGCAAGTACAGAGGAAACTGGATATTAATGCGTGTGTCACTAAATACTAACTTGGATATTTTCAATTTGATCCTATTAAAAACACCGAACCCTCTAGAGCAGCGGTTCTCAACCTGTGGGACGCGACCCCTTTGGGGATCGAAAGACCCTTTCACAGGGGTCGCCTAAGACCCTCGGAAAACACATATATAATTACATATTGTTTTTGTGATTAATCACTATGCTTTAATTATGTTCAATTTGTAACAATGAAATTGGGGGTCACCACAACATGAGGAACTGTATTAAAGGGTCGCGGCATTAGGAAGGTTGAGAACCACTGCTCTAGAGCACTACAAATTAACTTACAATGAGAAAATAAACTTTACGAGGAAAATTGAGATATCATATATACAGATGGCTCAATACGGAAAAGCGAAAGAGGTGAGCAGGAGCCCGGCCAGTGTGGCTCAGCAGCTGAGCATCAACCCAGGAACCAAGAGGTCGCCGGTTCGATTCCTGGTCAGGCACATGCAGGAACCCATGACATTCTGTAAGTTCTTCTCTCCCCGGGGCCTACATCATTGCCAGACAGAGTATGAGCACAGGAAGCACACGCACTCTCTCAGGACACGAGGATACCCGCTCACTTCACTTAGCTGGTTGCTTATCTGAGTTAGTGAGGAGCAGGGGTGAGGGTGGGAAGCTCTCCTCTGAGCACATACCTCGAAACTGACGGGCATATTTCGCTTCAGAGCAATTTCAAACACTAAGCTGATCTCAGATTTATTGGCGTCTTTGTCATCATCCATTTCTTTTCCGGATTCGCCATTCTAAATCACAAAAAAACAGGATGGCACTGAGTCTTCACTTTGGAACACACTTCGCACACAGTCTACAGTCAGGAGGCCCATCTAACAGAAAATACAGTAGGAGACAGAAACCCCAGACTGATCCTGTGGAGTCCCTGTAAGGCCCAGAGGTTCTCAACCTGTGGGTCGAGACCCCTTTGGCGGTCAAAGGACCCTTTCCCAGGGGTCGCCTAAGACCATCCTGCATATCAGATATTTACATTACGATTCATAACAGTAGCAACATTACAGTTATGAAGTAGCAACGAAAATAATTTTATGGTTGGGTCACAACATGAGGAACTGTATTTAAAGGGCCAGAAGGTTGAGAACCACTGCGTAAGCACAGCAGGCAAGAGCTGCTCTGAGGCTCTTTGTTGTTTGACTTTTCACTTTTTCCCCTCAAAGTAGAATAAATGCCAAGCGTGGAAGTCTTTTACTCAACCATACACCAATTTGAGTTTATCCAGTTCTCTAAAAATCTCTATCCAGCCCAACCGGCATGGCTCAGTGGTTGAGTATCAACCTATGAACCAGGAGTTCACGGTTCAATTCCCAGTCAGGGCACATGCCTGGGTTGTGCAGGAGGCAGCTCATCAGTGATTCTCTCATCATTGATGTTTCTATCTCTCTCTTTCTCTCCCTTCCTCTCTGAAATCAATAAAAATATATATATTTTAAAAATCTCTATACACACACACACACACACACACACTCTTGTACACACAGTACCTCCACTGGTGTTATAACATGATACTGCACCTTCTATGAAAACTAAGCTGTAGAAATAAGGGATGCAAACCAGGACTCTGGAGCTCCAGGTCTGGCCCTGACACCAATTCACTTACTTATTTAGCACATCTGGAGGGAGGACCCCAGATACGCTGGACGTAGTGTAAGTAACAGAGATAAAGGGAGGGTATCCTTCGCCAGGAGGCTTGTGATGTAGTGGGAAAACAGATAAATGTCCTAATGAACGTGTCCAGGAGAAAACTACCTAAGTCTGCCATTAACCAGATCAGCCTCCGGGAGGAGGAACAACAGGCGTGGGGAACTGTAGAGATGGAACTGTGTGGTTTGAAATAACTGAGAGGAGAGCTCAGTAAGAAGAGGACTCAGACACATGCCTGAGCTGGAGATACTCTTCTGAAGTCAACAGAGAAGGCAGCTGAAGCCATGAGAAGGGGCCAACAAAAGCCTCAATATCCTCAATCGTAAAAATTAGGTAGGACTGGAAATATCCATAATGATCTCCTCCACTTTAAATTCTTCCATTCCAAATCAACACAACACAATTCATGCTCACTAAATGTAGCATTAAACTCAAAGCAAGTGAACGTTATTTCTCATCCTTGTACACATTCCCAGCTCCTGAGCTGCCTGGGAAGTGCACTCCATTGGTGAACCCAAGTTCTCAAAGGCAAGGTCATCCTAGCAAGGACAAGTCCAGGATAGTAGACAGGTAATCAATCTGAGAAGCAAATTAACAGAGATGCCACTCTCCTCTTCCTTCCTATCAGGAGAGACTATTTCTCCTGTTTGTGAAAATGCACACATTTGTCTTTTGGATCACCGCCCGGGGATCTAGAGAGCAGCAGCAGCACACACACCTGAGAGGACTTCTCGGGAATGGGCTCGTTCTGCAGCGCCTGGAGGGCCTTCATGGCGGCGTTGTGTCTAGCAGCTTGTCGAGTCTTCCCTTCCCCAAAAAACTCATTGTTTCCTACAGTCAGCTGAACGTAAAAGATCTTAGGCATCGGGCAATGATACCTAAAGAAAAGAAAATAGGAATGTTAGTCCGATAAAATCACTCTATAATCAGATTTGTTTTGTTTAAGGTGATACCAACCAGATAATGCGCTATGCCCTCGTACGAACCCTAATCAAATTTTAACTTCAAGCTTTCAGACAGATTTTGACGGAAGTGGGCCAATGGTCTGGTGAAGGTCGGGGAGCCACCACAGAGGATGGCGACGAGCAAGGCCATTCTGGTGACAACAAGTAGACTCTTGTGCTTTTAGCAGATCGTTATGATGAGAAATGGGAAGGCAGAGACGTGGAGTTACTCCTCCAAAGTGTTAATAAGTACTTTTCAATAAATAAGATCAGAATCCAACATCAAAAAGAATAGGGAGTTTAACCCAATTTGTAGGTAGAAAGTATATTAATAAAATGTATTTAACGTAAAGATTTTGGCAGGTGTGAGTTGAATGAGCCTGAGGTAGAAAAGAGCTACTGATGTGAACTTGAGCAGTGATGTGGACTTGAGACGATAAAAGAGGGTGCAAAAAGAAAGAACAAACCCTAGAAGACATCAAGAAGAAAAAAATTACGGTGATATGCAATAAAATCCATTAACACAGCAATTATTTGACAGGGGAGCGTGACAATGACACACATTGAAGTGGAGCAGACAAGAAATAAGGTAAATATGCAGAACATAGTATGTTAGAGACACCTGTTAAACAGTAAAAGAGGCCAAGGTTCAGGGAGGTGGGTGTTAGATGGGGTGGCCAGGGAGGGCCTCACTGAGATGACAGCCGGGTAAAGACCTAAAATAAGTGAGGGAGGAACCCGTGCAGATCCCCTGGGACGGTGCAGCAGAAGCAGACAATGTCAAGTTCGTGACATTGAGGCAGCAGCATGCCATGCACGGTCAAGTACCTCAGAGGATGGCCATCTTCTTAGAGTTGAGGGAGAGAGGAAAGGGAAACGGCGAGATAAGAGGAGGTGGCCAAGGTCGCTTAGGGACGTCCTGAGAAATCACTGTAAGGACTTGACTTCTACTCATGGAGTGAAATGGCCACCACCAGAGAAGTGACATGACGTGGCTCACATTTTTGAAGGATCATCTAACTACTATGTAGAGAACAGACTATAGGGAAGGATGGTAGAAGCCAGGAGATCTATTAGGAAACTAGCGCAGTAACACAGGAAAGATGACCGAGGCCTGAACAAACGTGACAGCAGAAGAAGTGACGAGAACAGTGGATTCCAAGTGAATTTCAAAAGTAGAGAGACAGGGTTTGTCCAAGAACTGGCTACAGAATAGGAGAGTGGAGGCAAGGAAGGGGATTGCTGGTGGGCAGACGTCAGGCGCTCTGGTTTGAAGGTGTGAAGTTTTTAGGCCTGTTAGACATCCACATGGAGATGTCCAATGGACAGTTGGGTTTATGAGTCTGGACTCTAGAAAAAGAGGTCCAAGGTGGGAATAAAATTTGGGAATCTTCAATGTATCGCTGGATGTTAAAGCCAGGCAGGACTTGAAAGCCAGACAGGAAATCCAGGCAGGCAGGGTGTCCTCCTTCCTGGAAGCCAAGTGGGAAAGTCTCTCATGGAAGAGCGAGGGGTTGAGTGTCAAACGCTACGCACAGGTCAAGGCAGATGAGTGAGCAAAACTCACAGGACTGATTTGGATGGAATGGTGCGTTATAATAATGCTGAAAACTGAAGTGCAAAATCACTCCAGTGCGGAAAAATGTCTGTATCCCAGCAAAAAGAAGTCCAATGGTTGCCCTCGTCCTTTCAGATGGCGAGTGGACATCCATGGAGCGGTGCGCTATATCCGACCTGAGATCAACTGCACAGCGCCCATCCCGTAAGGCTCTGTGGGCAGATGGGACTAATGGTGAAGGTTTCCTGCAGGTGCCGGGCGAGCATGTAGATCGGCACTGACCCCACAGCTGTGGGAGGCTGGCACTAACTGAAACCATGTGAGTGGATGAGCACCTGGAAAAAGAAAGCAGAAAGGAACCCAGAAAGAGAGCCTGAGGCTGGGCTCTGATTCATGCCGGTGATCAAAAGGCAGGGGAAATAGTAGACGGCAGTGAAGGCGATGAAAGCAGGCCGCAATCAGAAAAGGAACAACACACCGTCAGGGAGGCAATTAGCAGTGGAGAAAGCCAGAGTCTGAGAAGGAGGGAGAAATCGCTGTTTTAAATTCTTACAGTCAATTTTCTTGGCCCGCAGTTTTCCCATTAATTTCTTTTAAGATAAAGTATTTTTAAATGTGTTTTATTATGTCATACCTTCTCATTTTTAATTGGCAAAGATGAAAAAGTTAAAGGAAGAAAAAAAATTACTTGTAACAGACTATTTTTTTAAAAACATGCAAAGACTCAAAAGCATTAAAAACCACACTTTTTTTTTCTCTTTGATTCCAATAACTAGTGTAGTAAAGTGCAATCTCCTGTTACCTGTTTCATTTTTAATTATTTTAATGCAGAAATTTGGACAGACTAATGGGATGGATGCAGGTGATTTCTGTGTCCCACAAAATTCATTTTCCCACCTCTACAGAACTCGATGCATGTTTTGTTTGTTTTAAATAAGAGCACTTCACTAATGGGAGAATTGACTAAGTTAACACTTAGAAAGTTTTAAGAACAGGTGAGACAGAGCAGAAAGATTTGAAGGGTCTCCAAGTTTTTTTAAATATGTTTTTATTAATTTGAGAGAGAGAGGGAGAGGGATAGAGAGATAGAAACATCGACGATAAAAGAGAGACATAGATTGGCTGCCTCCTGCACGCTCCCAACTGGGGATCAAGCCTGCAACCTGGGCATGTGCCCTGACCAGGAATCAAACCAGGGACCTCTTGGTTCATGGGTTGACGCTCAACCACTGAGCCCCACTGGCTGGGCTCGATTCATGTTTTAAACTGGTTCCACTACCGACCGAGCCTTTTAAAACAGACAACCTGAAATCAGAAATGGACTCCTGAGATCTTACACGGCCAGCTCTCCCCGTGGAGCGAATGTTTACAGTCAATTACACACTGCTGAAAGCAGAGGTCCGCGAGTGGAATGCGAGCAGACCTTTAACTACAGGAGAGGGAGTGGGCGCCACTGTAATCACTCTGGCCTGCTGACAATTACAAAACTCATTTCGGTTTGCCACAGAGACAAACAAAATTTCTGTTCATTATAACTTTACTGGAATATGATGTCATCACACATAACCATACTGAAACAATCTGCTGATTTTCTAACCAAAATATTAATTGTACACTAAAGAGCCCTTGGGGCCTCTTCCCTTTTGGCCATCAAGCAGGGCTCTGTGTGTGCGTAGTATGTGCGTGCATGTGGATACATATGTATATATAAATTATACCACAGGAGTATCAGAGGGAAAATTAGGTACGTTGTGTTCTGAAACATTCTCGCGCTAACAACAGGAAATACCGAAACCGGACGCCTGACTAGTTGCATTCCCTTCTCACTCCGTCCCCTGACTTAACAATGGTTCTTAATAACCTACCCCACGTGGTCTGAATAACTCAGAGATCACATCTCCTCATATCATCACGACAATTAAGATTAACCAGAACACTCTCATTAATGGCCCCCAGATTGAACTATAGAACGGACAATGCGAAATGCTGTGTGTGTGTGTTACGTCCTGGTCTCTAAATATCTGTTTCCTTTGGTAAAGACACACTCCAAGTGTATTAACTTTAAAGCGATGTGCTAATTAATGGAGTTCCTGTTTCTATTTTTATTTATTTCAAACATTAAGCTCACTTTTTTGGTGAAGTACGTATGGTAAGTGACAAACATCTTTCTGCACATTTTTTATTTACCTAAGCTTACACTGCTATTCCTGAATGGTTTTTCTTAATTAGAATGTTGTGGCCAATGCTTAGATCCTCGCAGTGATTACTGTGAAAAGATGAGCCGGGAAAATGCACCCACCCAAGCTATTAAAGTTTCAGGGTCAAATGGCTTCTACCCACCAACCTCCAAAGTATACTAGTATTTTGCAGTGTGACTCCACTTTCATCCGTATCCGTAGTGCTGGTTTAAAACGCAGGTTCCTGCGCTCCAACCCTGGTCTGCTGACTCAGTTCCTGGGGACGAGACACAATCCTCACGCAAGGAACCGATGCCCCATAACCACGCCACATCTTGCAACACAGCTCCTGCGACCTGACTGCAAAATCCTTGCACACGAAAGGCCACACAGCCCTGCCTCAGAGCCCCAGGCTCGGGTGCCTGTATCTCTTTCTCCTTAAACCTCACGGCAGCCTGGTGAGACAGACGTCCCCATGGTCACCTGGACAGGTAACAGAGTTGTTGGGAGTCAACCTCAAGTCTGCCTAACTTCAGAGCTCAGGGAACGCTTAAGGAGTTTCCTAGTGACCTGTCACCCTCTCCACCTGGGTCCGGATTTGTCTTTTCAGTTGGCTGTGTCCTGGGCAGGCCAGGGCACCTAAGGCTTCTTTTCACACCTCAGGCCCCCTAGCAGAATTCAGGAGGGTTTGACTGAACAGCTGCTGAAACCAAAAACTCTATGGTGAAACTCCAGGTTTTTACAGGAAGTCAAGCCAACCAGGTTCCAACAGGCCCAACTGAGGAACCCAGAGAGTGACAAGTCAGAATAACGGGCACCGCGGGCCACATGGCCTGACCGTCCAAATCTGATCAAGGCTGCTGGTCAGGCCACTCTGTCCAGCCTCTTTGTCCTCCGTCTGTTCCGAGTCTTACAAAAACTAAACAAACAAATAAATTTTCAAATAAAATAAAAGCTTTCTTTTCTTTAGATCCCAAAAAAAGTCTTTAGATTTGGTCTATCTTCAAGATATCACAAGTTGACACCAAAATAAAGAAACAGAGAACACTCGGTTCCTCTGAATTACTATCTGACATTCCTTATACAGCTTTGCTTTGTTATTTGAGCAGAGGGAAGGTATTACATTCTTCTGTAAGTATTCTTATTCTTGTATTTATTTCACTGTCAGTTACAACTTTCTATACCACGTCTTTGCCATC